TTTAATGCTTCTCCACTGGAAGAAACTGCATTTAGAACATGTCACATAAATATATATAACCCAAACTAATCTCATTGACTAGCACTATAAAACCAGCATTAGTTCAGGCTAGTACAATAAGCCATACATGCATGTGTTGCTATGTATCTGCAATAATTTTGAAGGAGACGTTTTACTATACCTAGGTGCACAATCACCACCGTGACATTTCTCAACTCCCCACTCCTCGCTTAAAACTCCTTTAAACAAACATAATGCACACAGAAAAACACCCTGAATGTACCCTGAATAACATGTCAATAGAATGTACCCTGAATAACATGTCAATAGAATGTACCCTGAATAACATGTCAATAGAATGTACCCTGAATAACATGTCAATAGAATGTACCCTGAATAACATGTCAATAGAATGTACCCTGAATAACATGTCAATAGAATGTACCCTGAATAACATGTCAATAGAATGTACCCTGAATAACATGTCAATAGAATGTACCTGAATAACATGTCAATAGAATGTACCCTGAATAACATGTCAATAGAATGTACCCTGAATAACTGTAATGTAGGCTTGCCAGCTGTTATATACTTGTATGACCATTACTGGATATATTTGTTTCAGGGTCTTATAATGTTGATCTGTCTCCCAGACTCTAGCAAATAATGGTTGCAACTCAAGTCTAGAATGATTGGAGTCTTTGGAGATATAGACATAAGTTACAGTCACCTGTTTTAAATATAATACATGGTTAAGAATATATTGCCATTTCTTACATGTCAGGAATTAACATATCGGGTATCTGGGTCGGGTAGGGTAATAGGGGTTGCGGTATCCGGGTAGAAAATTTGGACCCGTCCCAGCCCTACTGCATTTCTGGTACTATATGTCTAGGTCTGAATAACGGAATTGGATTAGATTTATGCATTATGGAGAGATTGGTGTATTTAGTAAGCACTGGTCTGATAGTGTGATGATTGCTGAAAGATCTGATTTTCTAGACAATGAAGACTTGTCTTGTCTTTGTTTACATTTTTGTCTGTCTTCTCTGCAGTGCCACTATTTTCACCAAACATATATAACCTACAACAGACCTTGTAGCAGTCCAACAGTGGGCTGACAATTGTTGGTAAAGACTCTTGGTGACATTTTTTCATGTGTGTCTTGAAAGAGAAATATCTCACTTTCTTGTCAGGACTTTGGAGTTCTGAAAGGTCACATACATTTCCCCGTTGGACTGTCAGTCAAATGTGTGACCTTTACAGCAAGACCACCTTTGTGTCAGCCTGCCTGGTTGGACACACACATCTGCATCTTTGGTCAGAGCGTAAACTAGGACAAACATGTCTATAGTTAACTTATGTATAAAACTATTTTTGGGTCCTGAATTAGACTAACAACTAGTCTCTGAAATGAACATATTTTACTGAAAAAAGTTCATAGTAAAAAAAAATATACCGGTAATATAATGAAAAGGAGCCCTGAAGCTGAGGAAATCTAGACTTGCCACATTTTCTAGACTTGCGTGGGCTTTCTTGGATATATTTGCTTCAGGGTCTGTACGACAGACTAGGTCCTGAATCTGCAGGATGTGTATATAGTTGGGTGTATTTTGTTTAACACCGCAATCAGCAATATTCAGCTTTATGGCAGCAGTCTGTATATAATTGAGCCTGGACCAGACAATCCAGTGATCAAAAAGCATGAGCACTGATCTACGCAATTGGGAACCAATGACATGTCAACCAAGTCAGAGCCTGACCACCCGATCCCGTTAGTCGGTACTTACAACAAGCATGGGTTACTGAAGATCAATTCTAACCTGGATCTTCATGAGTATTGAATGTGTATAACACATATGTTTATAATGAACTGAAACTAGTGGTCTCTGTGGTTTGTTATAACCATAGTTTATTGTACAAGGAGTATCAGGTTGTTCATGGTTATCAGTGCACATTGTTCACATACTGGGATTCAGTTGGTCATACATTCCTTGATCATTCGACTGGTTGGTGTCCTTTCTTGAAAGTGTCCATCGTATCATCTATCATCTGGAAATGGATTGGTTTAATATTCTATCAGTTATATTAACCATCCTTCTACTAATAATACATCTAACCAACAATCCACCATCTTTATTCATCTTATATTCCATATATCGTTCTGATATGATTCATTAATGAATTCTTACAGCTTTCAAATATTCCATTCAACTTTACAATATTCCATCTATACACCTAATATTCCATCCATCCATTCTGTTATTCCAGCTGTTTCTCATGGCCACGGGGCAGTGGGGTAGCCTAGTTGTTAAAGGTCACGCTGAAGATCCGGGTTCGATTTCCCACATGGGTATAATGCGTTAAGCCCATTTCTGGTGTACCTCGCCATGATATTGCTGGAATATTGCTAAAAGTGGCATAAAACCCAACTCACTCACTTCTCATATCCATTCCTCCATCCTTTCCATCTTTCCAGTATTCCATGTAATATTCCATTTTTTATTCATCCATCAATTGATTTTACATTCAATCTATTCTGATATCATCCATCCATCCTTCTATCATTCCAGTTTTTTCATATCCATTCATCCATCCTTCTATCTTTCCTATAATCCATCTAATATTCCATTGTTAATTCATCCATTTACTGATTTCACATTCCCTCCATCCTTCTGATACCATCCATCCTTCCATCTGTGCAGTAATCCATCCATCCATCTATTGAATATTCCATCCATCGAGACCATCATCTACATTCCATCCAGTTGATATTCTCTCCATCTGTCTGATCATACATTCATCTGGTATTCCTTCCCTCCCTCCTCTTACCCATGAAGATCCGGGTTAGAATTGATCTTCAGCAACCCATCTTCAGTAAGTGGTGACTAGCGGGATCGGGTGGTCAGGCTCGCTGACTGGGTGAAACATGTCATGGGTTCCCAATTGCCCAGATCGATGCTCATGCAGCTGATCACTGGATTGTCTGGTCCAGATGCCATTGCAATTATTTCCAGACCGCTGCCATATAGCTGGAATATTGCTGAGTGTGGCGTAAAACTAAACTCCCTCCCTCCCTCCTCTACGCTGCGACTAGCCAAGCTACAACAGCTTCAGTAAAATATTCAAATGCTATGTTATTAAGAGAAAAAAAACTGAACATTGGCTCATTGTTACAGTTTATATGTCGATGTAATTTGACGCAGCCAGCAGAGAGATGACATTAATAAATTGCGGGGGATTCTTCATTTCCACGTGTAATGGATATTATTAAAGGTTACGCTAACCACAATCTGGTGTCACACTTCCTATCATAGTGATGTCGGTTTCATGGTGGCCGTCTCAAAAACTGACACGTACATGTTTGTTTAGATAAGTGATAGATGTGTTACTTAATATGTTATTGTGCAAAATGCTGCCGGTTTTTTGTTCATCTCTCTGCAAAATGAATCCCTTGCTTTGTCAGTTTCAGAGGGGTTGTCTCAAAAGTTGAGCTGTGATTTGATAAGATGACATGTGACAGTCATATAATGTGTTTTTGTGCTAGGTTCATTATTCAAATGTCTGTTTAGTTAGATAACATGGCATGATGGCATTGTCAGTTTAGAGGGACCGTCTCAAAAACTATAAAATGATATCAAAACATTTTTTTAGGTACCAAATAAATCTCTACAGAGTGTTATTTTTTTAATATATAATTTCTTACCATAGTGTATGCCATCTGGGAGTCCTCCCTCTATTTTTTTCTTGTTGAGTGCATAAAGTGTGCTACATAAAAAATCCCAAGCAAAACAAAGAAAAAACAATAAAAAATGTGATGTTAATTTTTTACCCCAAACATGCAACTGCACATTTGGGACAAAAGTACATCGACAAACAGAGACAAAATAACATTTATAAGATAGAAAAGCAAATGAAAAGATTTTTTTTAACAAATTGTGACAGAAAGAGTTTTAAAGGAGTAATACAGGCAAGCTGTGCCTGTTGTGTTAAGAATTTCACTGCACCCTACTGAACAAAAAACACTTGATTGAGAAAATTGCTACTGCTCTAAGTTGACCTTCGTTGTGTTGACACAGGATTCAAGTGTCACTTTTAGCATCAGCCTGCATGGTGGGGAAGTGTGTGTGTGTTGGGAATCTATTGTCAGGGGAAGAAATACATGCAAGAAGCTCAGGCTGATCTGAGGGTGTAAGGAATCTTTTATAACTGCAGGAAACTTTTGTGACTGCATTTGGAAAACAGGCAACCTAGGTGTTAGACTGATGTGATTATAGACAAGTAGGTGACAGGGCAGTTGGAATATGTGACAGTTTGGAAGTCCTCCTGTATTGCAGCTAACACTCCGTTTATGTCATACTACTACTTCTGCTACTACTACTACTACTACTACTGCTGCTTCTACTACTACTGCTACTGCTACTACTACTACAGCTACTACTGTTGCTGCTATCACTACTACTATTACTACTATTACTACTACCACTGCCACTACCACCACCACCACTACTACTACTACTACCACTACCACTACCACCACCACCACCACCACCACTACTACTACTACTACTACTACTACCACTACTACTACCACTACTACTACCACCACCACCACTACTACTACTACTACCACCACCACTACCACCTACCACCACTACCACTACTACTACCACCACCACTACTACTGCTACTACTACCACTGCCACTACTACTACCACCACGACCACCACTACTACTACCACTACCACTACCACTACTACTACTACTACTACTACTACTACTACTACTACTACTACTACTACCACCACCACCACTACTACTACTACTACTACTACTACTACTACCACTACTACTACTTCTACTTTAAACCCACACCTACAACAATTACTGCCACCACTACTACAACTATAAGCTCACATGGCTACTGAAGTTGATTATATATGTTCTAGGTGACAGTTTCTCCCTGTATCATATACTAAGTTACATCTGTTTTGTTCCAGGATGATGACGAGTTTATTGGCTTTGCTACGCTGCCGGACCAGGTTCACCGGAAGGCGGTCAAAAGGGGATTTGACTTTACCCTGATGGTTGTTGGTAAGTACTGACTTGAAGTACACGATCCAGATATCTATATATTTTGTCCAACGATTCCCCAAACTGAAGTCTCTTCCACATGTAGCTGCAAAAACATATCCGATGGGATTTGAACCTCAGACCTTCAGATCCAAAGTTGGATGCCTTGTCCACATGACCAAAGAGGTTGGAACTCTGTCAGCAAACTGACAAGGTAAGGATGTCATCTATTTGATGAATCCACACCCAACTACGTATGGTTCAGAGCAAACAGTGTTTTGAATAAGGGTTGACATTTTTAAACCCTAACTTTGTTTGTAAACACATTTTCTTCCTCATGGCCACTTTACTGCCCTACCTGCCGTGATATTGCTGGAATATTGCTAAAAGCGGCCTAAAACTAAACTCACTCACTCACTCACTCACTTTACTGCCCTCAATATGTTGTGCTGTATCCGTGGCAATTCATTCAGTAGTTTTATTAGTTTAATCATAGACAGTCACAAGAACTCCCCATTCAATATGATGTCCAAAACACATTGGATGCCTTGTGTGTGATACTGTCCATGTCAAACAGAGTTACCTCCCTTAGATCACCACACGGCTGCATAAAACAGAATACACCACATGTTGATATGTATGCTCAGTGAGAAACATGATATAATGCACAATATCGACATGGCAACATGTTGAATTTGAAATGGGTCTGTGATTTCCTGAGCCCTATTTTCCTTACAACTTGTTCTGTTTGACATAATTTGCTTCATGTTGGTTGACATTCATTGTGTCTGACACAGATTATTCTATAAGGGACTGATCATTTTATAGTGGTAGGGGGTGGAGGTTGCATGTAGATTGTATGGAAATAAGTTAGTTTTTCAGCAACATTATTATGATAAGCAAATACTTTTTGATTTAAACTATGAATAAACTACAAATACTTCCCAACAATGTTTTATTGACCAATAATTTGTTTGTGTTATTGAATATTTCTTTTTTGAATTTCAAGGCCACCCACTCAGGTGTTCATAATGCAAAGCCTATAGACAGTGTCGGAGTGGCATGATTGACACCTAATATTACTATTACATGATTACATGATCATGATTGACACCTTATACAACAGTGATCTACACCTTATAGACGGAATGGCATGGGTTAAAGTGGCATGATTGACACCTAATATACAATTACATGCTGAAGACCCATGATTGGGTTACAATTACATGATCTACACCTTTATAGATGGGTACAATTACATGGTTAACCTTATAGACAGAGTCTCAATTACGGGGGTTAAAGTGGACATTCGTCATGCTGAAGACCCGGGGTTCGATTACCCGCATGGGTACAATGTGTGAAGCCCATTTCTGGCGTCCCCCGCCATGATATTGCTGGATTATTACTAAAAGCGGCATAAAATTAAGCTCACTCACTCACTCAGTTGCATCATATAGTCACAAAAGCCTGGAGATTATGGGTTAGAATAGATCCCTGTAATCTATGCTTGTTGCAAGAGTGAGAAATGTATAAGGTGCAAATCGAGATGACTTTGTGCCCACTGAGTGGTTTGCTGCTCAGCATATCAACCATTGGTTTGGCTGGTCCATACTGGGTTAGTTGCATGCAAATAACAAATGAACAAAACAGCTCCCAATCGCACCCACTGTACACTGTAACCTAGTAATGTGGAGGCTGGTGCTAAGAACGCTGTATCTGTTTACAGGGGAGAGTGGCCTCGGGAAATCAACCTTAATCAACAGTCTGTTCCTCACAGACCTCTACAAGGAAAGGGAGGTCACCCATGTAGAAGGTAAATGTATGATCATGAAAATGTTGATGTTTGTCATAACAATGAAAAAGAAAGAAAGAGAAACAGTGATGATGATGATGATGATGATGATGATGATGTCAGCAGCATGCTATAGGTGGCAGCAGTGTGGTAAATCTACATCTGTACTATAATCTCACTCAAGGTGATATATCAGCTCTTTACACTGCTCTGCCCACTCACTCACTTGTGAAGCCCATTTCTGGTGTTCCCCGTTGTGATATTGCTGGAATATTGCTAAAAGCGGCGTAAAACTATACTCACTCACTCACTCACTCACTCACTCACTCGTGAAGCCCATTTCTGGTGTCCCACGCCGTGATATGTTGGAATATTGCTAAAAGTGGCGTAAAACTATACTCACTCTCACTCGTTCGCTCACACTCACTCACTCACTGCTATATGTATTCAGATCGGGTGAGCTGTACAGTTGAGATAGAGAAGAAACAACTGGAGATCGAGGAGAAGGGGGTGAAACTACGCTTAACTATTGTAGACACTCCTGGGTACAACGACGCAGTCAACGCCGAGAGCAGGTGAGTGAACGGTGGGCTAAACTGTCTCAGGACCCTCTAGGAAACATAATTCCATGCACTGCAAGAAACCATGCCATTCAAATAAATAGGAGACACACATACTGTGTTGGAAAATCAGAGGTATATAACAAACTTATAATATTATAATTTCGTTATATACCTCTCATTTTCCAACACAGTACGTTTATCTCCATTCTACCATAACCGTGTCATTAAGATTTAAAACAAATACATACTGTGTTGGAAAATCAGAGGTATATAACGGGATTATATACCTCTGAATGACTTTGATTAACCAATCACAATCCAGTATTTACTGAAGTCATGGTAGAATTAGGCATAACAGAAGCTGTAGAGTCAGTCTTGAAGGAGTTACTGTAAACGTATTATATTTCGGCGCAGGTTTTATTTTCGCGCTTTTTGCGCAAAACATTTTAGCGTGAAAATTTATACACCGCGAATAAACCTGTCATTCATTCAGTCCAGCCACGTCGCCCTGAGTTGTGACCATAACACATCAAGTTTGAAGACAGAAATCTACGGGAATCTTAAAATGATGACTGATAGTAGTGTTTTTCATCTCTTCCGTGAGTAAACGGATTACTGTGTACTAGTATATCGCACAGATAGGGATTTCCTGTGAGTAAGCAATAAACGCCGCCTGACAGGTTAAGCCACTCTGTTTGTTTTCACTGCTATTAGTGGTGGCCAAAGAGACAGCTGGCAGTTCCGGCAATTACTGATTGCACGAATAATTGACCGCGCGATGTAGTCTAAACTGTCAATTCCGCGAAAATTGCACCACGCGAAAATAAGTACGTTTACAGTATCTCCCTTGTTTTGTTTCTGCCAGTGACAATAGTACAAATGAACAGGTTCACAACACAAATGGACACTTTGATGTATTTGTACTACCTTCTGGTGTGATTTCATCAGGAAACCTTTATTGACCATTTTCTCCATATTTGGTTTGCAGCTGGAAAAGTCTTGTTTCCTACATCGACAAGCAGTTCGAACAATACTTCCAGGATGAGAGCGGACTGAACCGAAAGAATATTGTTGATAACCGAGTGCATTGTGTCCTTTACTTCATATCCCCATATGGGCACGGGTGAGTCCACATATCACTAGAACATGTCATATCCCCATATGGGCACGGGTGAGTCCATGTATCACAAGAACACTTCATATCTCCATATGGGCACGGGTGAGTTCACATATCACTAGAACACTTCATATCCCCATATGGGCACGGGTGAGTCCACATATCACTAGAACATGTCATATCCCCATATGGGCACGGGTGAGTCCATGTATCACAAGAACACTTCATATCTCCATATGGGCACGGGTGAGTCCACATATCACTAGAACACTTCATATCCCCATATGGGGCGGGTGACACGGGTGAGTCCACATACACTTAGAACACTTCATATCCCCATATGGGCACGGGTGAGTCCACATATCACTAGAACACTTCATATCCCCATATATGGGCACATGGGTGAGTCCACATATCACAAGAACACTTCATATCTCCATATGGGCACGGGTGAGTCCACATATCACTAGAACACTTCATATCCCCATATGGGCACGGGTGAGTCCACATATCACTAGAACACTTCATATCCCCATATGGGCACGGGTGAGTCCACATATCACTAGAACACTTCATATCCCCATATGGGCACGGGTGAGTCCACATATCACATAGAACACTTCATATCATATCCCCATATGGGCACGGGTGAGTCCACATATCACTAGAACACTTCATATCCCCATATGGGCATGGGTGAGTCCACATATCACAAGAACACTTCATATCTCCATATGGGCACGGGTGAGTCCACATATCACTAGAACACTTCATATCCCCATATGGGCATGGGTGAGTCCACATATCACTAGAACACTTCATATCCCCATATGGGCATGGGTGAGTCCACATATCACTAGAACACTTCATATCCCCATATGGGCACGGGTGAGTCCACATATCACTAGAACACTTCATATATCCCCATATGGGCACGGGTGAGTCCACATATCACTAGAACACTTCATATCCCCATATGGGCACGGGTGAGTCCACATATCACTAGAACACTTCATATCCCCATATGGGCACGGGTGAGTCCACATATCACTAGAACACTTCATATCCCCATATGGGCACGGGTGAGTCCACATATCACTAGAACTAGAACTTCATATCCCCATATGGGCACGTGGTGAGTCCACATATCACTAGAACACTTCATATCCCCATATGGGCACGGGTGAGTCCACATATCACTAGAACACTTCACTAGAACATCATATCCCCATATGGGCACGGGTGAGTCCACATATCACTAGAACACTTCATATCCCCATATGGGCGCGGGTGAGTCCACATATCACTAGAACATCCATATCATAGAACATGTCATATCCCCATATGGGCACAGGTGAGTCCACATATCACTAGAACACTTCATATCCCCATATGGGCACGGGTGAGTCCACATATCACTAGAACACTTCATATCCCCATATGGGCACGGGTGAGTCCACATATCACTAGAACACTTCATATCCCCATATGGGCACGGGTGAGTCCACATATCACTAGAACACTTCACTTCATATCCCCATATGGGCACGGGTGAGTCCACATATCACTAGAACACTTCATATCCCCATATGGGCACGGGTGAGTCCACATATCACTAGAACACTTCATATCCCCATATGGGCACGGGTGGTGAAGTCTTCATATCCCCATATGGGCACGGGTGAGTCCACATACTAGAACACTTCATATCCCCATATGGGCACGGGTGAGTCCACATATCACTAGAACACTTCATATCCCCATATGGGCACGGGTGAGTCCACATATCACTAGAACACTTCATATCCCCATATGGGCACGGGTGAGTCCACATATCACTAGAACACTTCATATCCCCATATGGGCACGGGTGAGTCCACATATCACTAGAACACTTCATATCCCCATATGGGCACGGGTGAGTCCACATATCACTAGAACACTTCATATCCCCATATGGGCACGTGGTGTGAGTCCACATATCACTAGAACACTTCATATCCCCATATGGGCACGGGTGAGTCCACATATCACTAGAACACTTCATATCCCCATATGGGCACGGGTGAGTCCACATATCACTAGAACACTTCATATCCCCATATGGGCACGGGTGAGTCCACATATCACTAGAACACTTCATATCCCCATATGGGCACGGGTGAGTCCACATATCACTAGAACACTTCATGGGCACGGGTATCCCCATATGGGCATGGGTGAGTCCACATATCACTAGAACACTTATATCCCCATATGGGCACATGATCCCCATATCACTAGAACACTTCATATCCCCATATGGGCACGGTGGGTGAGTCCACATATCACTAGAACACTTCATATCCCCATATGGGCACGGGTGAGTCCACATATCACTAGAACACTTCATATCCCCATATGGGCACGGGTGAGTCCACATATCACTAGAACACTTCATATCCCCATATGGGCACGGGTGAGTCCACATATCACTAGAACACTTCATATCCCCATATGGGCACGGGTGAGTCCACATATCACTAGAACACTTCATATCCCCATATGGGCACGGGTGAGTCCACATATCACTAGAACACTTCATATCCCCATATGGGCACGGGTGAGTCCACATATCACTAGAACACTTCATATCCCCATATTGTATAAGATTATAGTAGGGTATGGCTAGGACACTAGCTAGACATACAGTTAGATTAAACAAAAGACATTTTGAGAAAACAAGTTTTATATTGTATAATCTTGTATATTCTATGTGTTCTACTGACAATCCTGTTCTCAGCTAATGGTTAATACTTGTTACTTGTAGGTTGAAGCCAATCGACATACAAGTAATGAAGAAACTACATAACAAAGTTAACATTGTGCCACTGCTTGCTAAATCAGACATTCTTACCAAGGCTGAGGTGAAGAGATTAAAACAAAGGGTAAGTAGAAAAAAACTGTACAGTTTCTCTGACCTGTGTATTTATATATTGCCAAATAACAACTTGTTTGTTGATAGACACCCATCCATGTATCTGTCTATCCACCAACCCACCCAGACATCCATAGATCCATATGCCCATCCATACATTTGCCTGTTTTTCCATGTTCATGTATCTATCGATCCACCAACTCACCCACCCTCATATCAACCCACCCAGCAAGCTTGCCAGACCATCAGTCCATCCATCCATACATATACACCCCCACCCACACATCTGTCAGTCCATCCATCTGCCCACCCATATATCCATCTCTAGACCCATCCACCTTTCTGTCCATCCATCCATCCATCTGCCCACACCTTTCCATCCATCCATCTGCCCACCCATATATCCATCTCTAGACCCATCCACCTTTCTGTCCATCCATCCATCTGCCCACCCATATATCCATCTCTAGACCCACCCACCTTTCTGTCCATCCATCCATCTGCCCACCCATATATCCATCTCTAGACCCATCCACCTTTCTGTCCATCCATCCATCTGCCCACCCATATATCCATCTCTAGACCCATCCACCTTTCTGTCCATCCATCCATCTGCCCACCCATATATCCATCTCTAGACCCATCCACCTTTCTGTCCATCCATCCATCTGCCCACCCATATATCCATCTCTAGACCCATCCACCTTTCTGTCCATCCATCCATCTGACCCATCCACCCCATATATCCATCTCTAGACCCATCCACCTTTCTGTCCATCCATCCATCTGCCACCCATATATCCATCTCTAGACCCATCCACCTTTCTGTCCATCCATCTGCCACCCATATATCCATCTCTAGACCCATCCACCTTTCTGTCCATCCATCCATCTGCCCACCCATATATCCATCTCTATACCCACCCATACACCCATCCACGTCTCTGTCATCATCATCTATCCTTCTATATGGCCCTCCAGCCATCTGCCCATCCAGCCATTCATCCTTCATCCATCTGCCCATCCATAAACCTGCCCACCCACCTTTCCACCCAGTTTGTTCATCGATCCATAGCACGATCCAGACATCCACCTTCCCTCTGACTCGTGTGTTTGTGTTGGCAGATCATGGATGAGATTGAGAAGAATGACATCCACATCTATGAGTTCCCCGACTGTGACAGTGACGAGGACGAGGACTTTAAGAAGCAGGACAGTGACTTGAAGGTAAGCCAGACATTCCAGAGGGCATCATCTGTGTTACTGAAACAGTGACTAGACCACTGCATTGTCTTATATTATGGACCAAAATAATATGTTGTTCATTTGTTACATTTTATTTATTTTTTCATTATACATTTTGCTATAGTGACCAAAGACATACTTTTAGTATGAGTGAGTGAGTTTAGTTTTATGCCGCACTCAGCAATATTCCAGCTATATGGCGGCAATCTGTAAATAATCGAGTCTGGACCAGACAATCCAGTGATCAACAGCATGATAATCGATCTGCGCAACTGGGATATGATGACATTTGTCAACCAAGTCAGCCAGCCTGACCACCAGATCCCGTCAGTCGGCTCTCACGACAAGCATGGGTTACTGAAGATCAATTCTAACCTGGATCTTCACAGGTCTTTTAGTATGAAACAAAATACTTTTGTGTGAATTGTCAGAATCATTTTTTGATTTATGTGTGTTCATTAATAACATGATTTTGATCTGTAGTAAAATTTATAGTTTTTCAGACATGTCTTCATCAGTTCATTATAATTCATAAAAAACTGTTTTCATTACTAACATACATGAGTGCCATGTGTTCATCAGAAAAACACTCATCAGTACTAAACATTCATCATTGCCGGGGCGGTGGGGTAGCCTAATGGTTAAAGCGTTGGCTCGTCACGCCGAAGACCCGGTTCGATTCCCCACATGGGCACAATGTGTGAAGCCCATTTCTGGTGTCCCCCGCCGTGATATTGCTGGAATATTGCTAAAAGTGGCATAAAACCAAACTCAGTCAGTCAGTCAGTTCATCATTGCCATACATTCATCAGACACTGGCCTACATATTTTCCAAGCATTCATTAGTCTTATGTGTTCATTAAAGAAGTACTCACCATTGCTATGAATTCACTATTGCCATGTGTTTGCCCACCAGGCTGCTGTTCCCTTCGCTGTAGTAGGCTGTAACACTGTGGTGGAGGCAGGGGGCAAGAAGATCCGGGGCCGGGCGTACCCCTGGGGTATTGTGGAGAGTAAGTGATCTTAACATTACCTAATCATCGCAAGTTTTCCTGTAATGTGCGATTTAGTATATATCATGTAAGATGTTCAGTGATTGGTCAATCGGACTGTCGAGTGTCAACAGTTAATGTAGGTCCAGCAGACACTTGTTTCTTAGACAATGGTGAAGCTACATACTGGCATAATAAAGATTATCCATGCATATTGTTTAGACTTCCCTTTCATGGTAATCAATTGGTCCTGCTAGAGTAACTGCCCTTTATTAAAGGGAGACTACTCTAAACTACGCTTTGAGGCATCATGATTGGTTTGGGTTTGCATGTCCTGTGATAATGTCATGAAGTCCAGAGACAGAAAACTACACGAATTTAAATAATTTTTAATAAAATCACCTCTACATTTGTCCTTGTGTGTGTGACAGTCACATACATCACCTCTCATCTGTCCTTGTGTGTGTGACAGTCACATACATCACCTCTCATCTGTCCTTGTGTGTGTGACAGTCACATACATCACCTCTCATCTGTCCTTGTGTGTGTGACAGTCACATACATCACCTCTCATCTGTCCTCAGTCACTTGTGTGTGTGACAGTCAGTCCATCACCACCTCATCTGTCCTTGTGTGTGACAGTCACATACATCACCTCTCATCTGTCCTTGTGTGTGTGACAGTCACATCACCTCTCTCATCTGTCCTTGTGTGTGTGACAGTCACATACATCACCTCTCATCTGTCCTTGTGTGTGTGACAGTCACATACATCACCTCTCATCTGTCCTTGTGTGTGTGACAGTCACATACATCACCTCTCATCTGTCCTTGTGTGTGTGACAGTCACATACATCACCTCTCATCTGTACTGTCATACATCACCTCTCATCTGTCCTTGTGTGTGTGACAGTCACATACATCACCTCTCATCTGTCCTTGTGTGTGTGACAGTCACATACATCACCTCTCATCTGTCCTTGTGTGTGTGACAGTCACATACATCACCTCTCATCTGTCCTTGTGTGTGTGACAGTCACATACATCACCTCTCATCTGTCCTTGTGTGTGTGACAGTCCACATACATCACCTCTCATCTGACAGTCACATACATCACCTCTCATCTGTCCTTGTGTGTGTGACAGTCACATACATCACCTCTCATCTGTCCTTGTGTGTGTGACAGTCACATACATCATCACCTCTCATCTGTCCTGTGTGTGTGTGACAGTCACATACATCACCTCTCATCTGTCCTTGTGTGTGTGACAGTCACATACATCACCTCTCATCTGTCCTTGTGTGTGTGACAGTCACATACATCACCTCTCATCTGTCCTTGTGTGTGTGACAGTCACATACATCACCTCTCATCTGTCCTTGTGTGTGTGACAGTCACATACATCACCTCTCATCTGTCCTGTGTGACAGTCACATACATGACATCTGTCACATACATCACCTCTCATCTGTCCTTGTGTGTGTGACAGTCACATACATCATCTCATCTGTCCCTCTCATCACCTCTCATCTGTCCTTGTGTGTGTGACAGTCACATACATCACCTCTCATCTGTCCTTGTGTGTGTGTGACAGTCACATACATCACCTCTCATCTGTCCTTGTGTGTGTGACAGTCACATACATCACCTCTCATCTGTCCTTTGTGTGTGTGTCACACATCACCTCTCACATACATCACCTCTCATCTGTCCTTGTGTGTGTGACAGTCACATACATCACCTCTCATCTGTCCTTGTGTGTGTGACAGTCACATACATCACCTCATCTGTCCTTGTGTGTTGTGAAGTCACATACATCACCTCTCATCTGTCCTTGTGTGTGTGTATGTCACATTGATGTCATCTTCAGGCTTGTGGGAACATAAACAAACTCGAGGGTACATCAACCTTCGGGCTCAGGGAACATAAACAAACATCGGTACATCAACCTTCGGGCTCAGGGAACATAAACAAACATCCGAGGCTACATCAACCTTCGGGCTCAGGGAACATAAACAAACATGGTACATCAATCTGTCCTCAGGGAACATAAACAAACATCGAGGGTACATCAACCTTCGGGCTGAGGGAACATAAACAAACATCGAGGGTACATCAACCTTCGGGCTCAGGGAACATAAACAAACATCGAGGGTACATCAACCTTCGGGCTCAGGGAACATAAACAAACATCGAGGGTACATCAACCTTTTCAGGGAACATCAACCGTTGTCAGGGTTTTAAACAAACATCCTGGTACATCAACCTTCGGGCTCAGGGAACATAAACAAACATCGAGGGTACATCAACCTTCGGGCTCAGGGAACATAAACAAACATCGCTAGGGTACATCAACATTTGAAAACTAGATTTGAACAGACATTGTTAAAGGGCTACCTTAAGTGCTCAGGAACATAAAACAAACATCGAGGGTACATCAACCTTCGGGCTTAGGGAACATAAACAAACATCGAGGGTACATCAACCCATGCCCCCCTCGTGACCAGTGAACAACGTATTTATCTTACCGAACACCTTAAATGTTAATTTTGAATTGTTTGAAGCACGGGTACAAATCTTTATGTAGTCATCGCTAGATTTTGCTGATAAGAAAAACAGATTTAGAGTTATCTCCTGATTTGCATTCGCAAAACATCAGTAATTTCCGTACATCATATCGTGATTCAATGTAATTCGAGAAAAAGAATTACTACCATGAAGTACCAAATGAGTTGCCATTGACAGCAGGGTACATTGAAATGTTACTCGCTTGTAAGCGGGGTATATTGAAAATAATAGAAGAGCGCTCAGCCAATCAGAAAGCGACATTTATGTGTGAGGCATGATAAGTGAAAATGACCTGTGAAGGTCCAGGTGAGAATATTGATCTTCAGTAGCCCAGGCTTGTCGTAAGAGGCAACTAACGGGATCGGGTGGTCAGACTCACTGACTTGGTTGACACATGTCATCGGTTCCCAGTTGCACTGATCGATGCTCATGCTGTCGATCACTGGATTGTCTGGTCCAGACTCGATTATTTACAGACCACTGGCATACAGCTGGGATATTGCTGAGTCTGGACCAGACAATGTAGTGATCAACTGCATGAGCATCGATCTGCGCAATAGGGAACCGATGACATGTGTCAACCAAGTCAGCCAGCCTAACCACCGGATCCCGTTAGTCGCCTCTTACAACATGGGTTACTGACGATCAATTCTAACCTGGATCTTCACAGGTCAAGTTTGTTAGTGCTGTACTGAGGCTTGTGAGTTTTGTCAGTTTGGTAAAATCTGACACCTACATATTCTAGGCTCTCCTCTCACATCAACACAACTAGAACACTATTAAAATCGGTATTAAACTCATCAGTCGCTATTATTCTGTTTCAGCACTCACATGCAGGATTTGAAAGATATAACGTCTGATTGCCATTATGAGAATTACAGAGCAGAACATCTCAAAGATCACCTCACAACTTCACAGAAGGACAGAAGGTATGTGAAAAACTGGTCAGGTCATGCCAGGGACGTCTTTGTAAGGGAAACATACTCAGTTCCAAAAGAAACGCAAATCATGTAAAACTGTGATACAGTGGTGAATAGAGATATTGATGTTTGTTTTTGAAAACTTGAAAAGAAAACAATGTGAATCCTTAAAGGAAACACACAAATGATCGTTATTCATAACCAGATGTGTTTTATGATCATGCAGTGTATAAAACATAGCCCGTCCCACCGTCTTGACGGTCTATTTTTGTGAAGGACGGTCTATTAAATAAGTAAGACTGTCCTTTAGTCAGGGGAAATATTTGGTTTCATCACCAAATTTCATACATAGGTAGATCTAGTGGTGAACTGGTGCCTTTTGGTAGTTTTGGATTTTGAATAAAATATAAAAAAATTGTGTGTTTCCATGGCAACTGAATTTGATGGTAGTGCTCCTTTCTGGAACAGAACTTTGAAACCTTTCAGTACTCTTCTTCCACTTATCTATATACACGCCAACACATTTGACATAACTCTTAGACATATTCATTAAGAGTATTTTGCCATTGCTGGGGATATTGATGACTTTGTCTTCTTGTTTCATTGTTTTAGTTTTGGGACTGGCTGTGTTTGTTCAGGACTGGTCACATTTTGTGACAGCCAGTCCTTGGACAGGCCATATTTCAAAACCATTTTATACACTGGATCATGTCAACAAGCCCTTGTTAGTCTGCAACTTTGGGTAACGTCATTTGAGAGTCAGATTTCAGTACCGAGAATGGCTTCCATTAGCAGCCTTTTCGAGATCCTCTGAACATCTGTCTACAAATTTGAACATTTGTGATATTCACATTTCTTCTGGAATTCAGTATATATACTGTGAGTCCCGAGCCGTTAGTTTGGATGTTGTGAAAGTCCTGAAATCTTGTCTTGTTAATCTGGGAATGTAGTTTACAGACATCTTTAGTGAGTGAGTTTTGGAGATCATGTTTGTGAATACTTGTTAGATTAGTATTGGTGTGCACAGTTTTGAATATTTGTTATTTTTCCCCAGCAAACTCAAGAGAGATTCCAGTCCCAACTTTGAAGCCATCATGGATGCAGACAAACTGTTACAGCAGAAGGATGCTGAGGTGAGTATCTTCATCGTGGAGGCCAGTAGAGGTAACCATGGTAACCTTGACTGGGCTGTTATTATTTAGTAGACACAGTTTCTGAAATACATCTTTGTTAATGTACTATCACAGCATTGTGTCCATATAGATCCTTGTACTGTAGTCAAGGAAGACTGTCAGCAGTCTGCGAAATAGACACTGGCCCAATAGCCCGTGGCTAGTAAAAATCCAGTCGGGCCAGTAAATCTCCACAGTAATTTTGTAAATATATCACTCTCTCCGACTTGTTAAGTTATAATACACTTTTAAATCATGCAAGATTATGGCCTGATAAAATGTTCACCATAATAGCAGCTTAATGATGAAACCGTGTCATGCCGACAATATCTTATTCTCCTCTATTTTTGTAATCTTTTGTATAGTTTCTACATTCAAATTTCGGGCTAGTGAATTATTTTTTGGCTGGTAACTTTCAGGCATAGCTAGACCGACTGGCTAGCAAAATTTGGAAACTATTTCGCGCTGTCAGTATCTGACAATGAACTGACAACTTACCTTCAGGTCCGTCTGAGTTTTCCTGACACTGGCAGGCCAATTTCTGCTTGTCTGCCACTGGCTATGTGTAACAATGTCTGTCTAAATTTGTCTGGCATTGAACAGCTGTAACAATGTCTCTATGACTTGTCTGACATTGAACAGCTGTAACAATGTCTCTATGATTTGTCTGACATTGAACAGCTGTAACAATGTCTCTATGATTTGTCTGACATTGAACAGCTGTAACAATGTCTCTATGATTTGTCTGACATTGAACAGCTGTAACAATGTCTCTATGATTTGTCTGACATTGAACAGCTGTAACAATGTCTCTATGATTTGTCTGGCATTGAACAGCTGTAACAATGTCTCTATGACTTGTCTGACATTGAACAGCTGTAACAATGTCTCTATGACTTGTCTGACATTGAACAGCTGTAACAATGTCTCTATGACTTGTCTGACATTGAACAGCTGTAACAATGTCTCTATGACTTGTCTGACATTGAACAGCTGTAACAATGTCTCTATGATTTGTCTGACATTGAACAGCTGTAACATTGAATGTCTCTCTATGATGATTTGTCTGGCATTGAACAGCTGTAACAATGTCTCTATGATTTGTCTGACATTGAACAGCTGTAACAATGTCTCTATGACTTGTCTGACATTGAACAGCTGTAACAATGTCTCTATGATTTGTCTGACATTGAACAGCTGTAACAATGTCTCTATGATTTGTCTGACATTGAACAGCTGTAACAATGTCTCTATGACTTGTCTCATTGAACAGCTGTAACAATGTCTCTATGACTTGTCTGGCATTGAACAGCTGTAACAACGTCTCTATGACTTGTCTGACATACAACAGCTGTAACAATGTCTCTATGACTTGTCTGACATACAACAAATATATAGATGACTCTATTTTGTTATCCATCAATGAGCAAGTTTTGATGGATGCCAATATGCCTCCATGAACAAGTAACCACTAATAAATGATTCAGATTAAAACAGGTGCCAACTCCATTCTTATAGTCATATTTGGCTTAGAATTTGCTGAGGGCAACATAAAATAATATCTAAGGCCAGAATAATTTTATTTTTTTTTTGTCGTGTTTTAGGGATTTTTGTCCTCAGGAAACCTGAAGGCAAACCAGTCAAAGTAATATTCTTTTTAAATGCTAAAAGTATTTTACTTTTGGCAATTTATTGAATGTATATGAGACAAAAAACAATGTAAAAAACTTTTTTTTTGTCAGTTTACATTTTTGGCCAATAAAAAACATTTAGATTTTGTGTTTTTGAGCGGGGAAAATTAATTTTATTTTTTTATTTTTCATGAAAAATATGACCAGTGGATCCATAAAACAAGAAATAAAATTGGTCCAGCCTAAAGTATAATTTCCCTGTTTTCCACCAAATTTGATGCCAGTGTGTTTGTTGGTATGCATGATCATTCTGTACACACATGAATTCCTCGTCTCCAGATTCAACGAATGCACGCGATGCTGGCCAAGATGCAGCAGCAACTACAACAAGGGCAGAAAGAACAGAAAGTGAACGGGTTGGGTAAACTCTGAGAGCACAGTTCTATAAATAGATTGAGTCATGTGATTAGCATGTGATCAGCTGCTGCTGACAACGTGAGAGTTACTGAACTCTCATTCTAAGCTGGGGGAGATGAGCCAAGAATTACACAAGGCTGACGAATGATAGTCACGTGGTCACGACTGTGAGTAGAATCCCACACAGAAGGTCAAGGTCTTTCATAACCCTCCCTAAATTTCCCTAGATACGAGACTTTAACACAAGTAATAATACTCGACAGTACATCTTACATCAATTACCACCATAGGGTCATAAATAATGTTACGATTTTATCACTGTAGAACCAATATGGCCAGAAGGACCTTCTGAGGGGAGGTACCTCTCACAGGACTGGTCACGTGATCGTAGAGGTGGGATATTTATCCTACGCCTGCGTACCTACTGATGCAAACTATTTTGAAGGAGGAACTACATTCTCAAGTCACAAGTGTAAATCAGGGACTCCGTAGTTGGTGTCACATAATTGTTGTTGTCCACCATCTTTCTTCATTCAGCACTGGTCAAGGTCATTACTCAGTTATCTCCCTTTCCAATATTGCCACGCTTTACACAAACTGACTTTTCCCCTTCATATGAATTTTAATGACTTCAGTCTTATTCACATCAGAATCTTATAGTTTATATATCCTTGCACAATGACCATAATTCCTCTAAAATTAAAAAAATGAATTTTGATTTCTTCAGAATTCAGAAAAATCTTAATTTTTGAATTTAGTTTAAAAAAATTGATTCCAGTGAATGATTGTTGAATTTGCAAAACAGATTCAGAGAAGGTTTAATTTTTAGAGGAATTATGATATCCAAACAGACTATCAATGCTTTTGCAATAAATGGACCAACGGTTATATTGAAAGGGAGGTAACTGATTGAGCGCATGTTTTCAGCTTGGATGTACATTGCGTATTGTAAAGGTATGAATCAGTTTTGTTATTACAGTCATCAATGAGAGATTATCAAGCATCAGTTACTCTAAATTACTTGCCCTCTTCTTCAGAGTCTTAAAAATATTTGATAGTAATTAATTACAAAATGTGATGAATTATCAATCGGCTCAGCGTCAATTCAAGCAATAATTCAAATTCAATTTTCTTAAATTTAAATATAGAGGGCAAAATATGTACTTTCATTTTTTACAATCCTTAAATAAATATTTGGAAACCATTTTTCTCAATATCTTGTCTCACACTAATGCATCATGTTTAGAGTGAATATTAATAAATTATGTTTTAATAATTAGAACAAGACTGTAAATGCCCGTCAGATGAATCGACAGAATGGTTTTGAAGAATAAATGCCTTTTTGCAAATATTATATTATTTTCTCAAAAACTGATAAAATGTTGATAATTAAAAAAAGGTTGTTTGTTAATCAGATATGTCTTCAAAGGATGTACTATTCAGAGTTGGTATTGGATTTGCTTGACATTTATGAATGAAATAGACAAAAGTGTGTGGTATGCTTGAGCAGATATGGCATGTAAATATATATATTTGCAAAGAGCTTTTTTCACTGTAAATTGCTATGTATTTCAATATTTCCTTGTTCATCTTTTCAACCTAAATTTTCTCCTAAATAAATATTAAATATTCATGATGGTACGTGTGAAAACTTTACATTTTTGCTTAATTTCAAATGACACTTCGTTACATTTATCAACTCACCTTTTCTTAAATATTTCATTCATGTATTAATTGATAATTCATTTTGTCATATATAACATATTCTCGAATTATTTATTTCAAAAGTATGTAGAAATATTAAATATTATTTACATGTATTAGTAGTAGTATTTATTTACAGGTTATGTTATTTTTAAATGTGAACAATACATTAGAGAATACCCTTTAACATATAGATATGTGAGCATATGATATGTCTTGCTCTGTATGTATAGAGTAATACCGAATGGGTCTTCTGTCCATTTCAAACAAGGTCTGCCACACATGTCTACTCTTGTACTATTGGATAGCCTGAGGGGGCGGTGGGGTAGCCTAGTGGTTAAAGCGTTGGCTCGTCACGCCGAAGACCCGGGTTCGAATCCCCACATGGGTACAATGTGTGAAGCCCATTTCAGGTGTCCCGAGCCGTGATGTTGCTGAAATATTGCTAAAAGCGGCGTAAAACCAAACTCAGTCAGTCAGTCAGTGGATAGCCTGAGAAGATCCTGGTTATAAGTGATCTTCAACCCATGCTTGGCAGTGGGGTGGCCTAGTGGGTAAAGCATTGGCTCGTCACGCCGAAGACCCAGGTTCGATTCCCCACATGGGTACAATGTGTGAAGTCCATTTCTGGTGTCCCCCCGCAGTGATATTGCTGGAATATTGCTAAAAGTGGCGTAAAACAACCTCACTCACTTGTACAATTGGCTAGCCTGTGAAGATCCCTTTATAAGTGAAGTTCACCAACCCATGCTTGTTGTAACAGGAGGGGGAGTTGGGTAGCCTAATGGTTAAAGCGTTCGCTCATCACAACAATGCTTGGGTTTGGTTCCCCACATGGGCACAATGTGTGAAGCCCAATTCTGGTGTCTCCAGACATGATATTTGTGTAAAACGGCATTAATATCACGACATAAAACCCAATCCACTCACTGGTGTAAGACTGAACGGGATCTGGTGGATTTGTTGCTTTGGTTGATTTTCGTGTCTTGTTGCAGTATAATGGCAGTATCGCTACAGCCAGCAACATCAGCAACAACATCAGCAACAACATCACTTGGTTGACAAAAACTGTTACAACCAAGAGATCATCTTTTACCATAATTTTTATTACTGAGATGATGTCATGATGCTTTTGTTTGGATCATTTTTGTGAACAGAAAACATAAATGGATAGTGGACCCATAACTGCAGCAAACTCACTGCCATCAAATGGGATGCAATAAGAAATAATAATAATAATAATGACAATAATGTTGTTGTTTAAAAAAAAAATCTTTTTCTATAAAAACTGATGACACATTCCTCGTACAAGGAGTTTTATGTTAAGATATGAAAAATTATGTTCTGATTTCAGCTTGAATTTTGATATACCTCTAGTATTCAAGTATATGAAAGTTATTATAAACAATTGTAATGATTGAGATAAGATGGAAACTTTGCTCTTATAGTGAATTCAAGTTAAAGGTGATTATGTTATTTTATATTTTTTTATTTTGAAAAAAGTATAAAAGAATGAGTTTTTGTCGAGATACTACTGTGAAGAATTTTCTAAATGTTTTGTATTTGTTAAATCTGATGTAGATTTGCTGTAGATTTAATGATTGACACGCTCAGAGCGTTGGATGTACTTCGTACTTTTGTTGTCATATCTCGTGCTGTGTCTAATAATCATCAGTCAATAAACATGGTAAAATAGCATACTCCTTTCTGTTCCTAAGTCTTTGTGGGAGGTGGGGTAGTCTAGTGGTAAAGCGTTGGCTCGTCACGCCGAAGACCCGGGTTCAAATCCCCACCTGGGTACAATGAGTGAAGCCCATTTCTGGTGTCCCAGCCGTGATATTGCTGGAATATTGCTAAAAGCGGCGTAAAACCAAACTCAGTCAGTCAGTCAGTCTAAGTCTTTGTTGTGAATAAATAGATGGACATGGATGATATTATTATTATCATTGTCTGTCTGTCTGTCTGTCTGTGGGGTCTGCCTGTTGATCAGAGGGCGGTGGGGTAGCCTAATGATTCAAGTGTTCGTTGCACCGAAGACCCGGTGTAACAGGCCAGAGTATACCCCTGTCCCAGACTATACCCGGGGTTAAACTGGGCTAGCCCAGACTATACCCCAGGTATAATCTGGGCTAGCCTAGTTTATACCCCGGGGTATATTCTGACCTAGGCCATAGTATACCCCCCTAGCCCAGATTATACCCCTACAGAAAGTGATTAAGGATACTACTATAATTTTATTGTACTTCTCACACAATTAAACACTGGTTACAACATTGAAATGGTCCGATACATTTTCCAGATACAAAGCATAATCAGTGTGAGTTTTCAAGCTGAAGCTGGCAGGGTACATCAGCCATTCCATTGACTGACCAACTGCACTGTAAATATAAATGTCACATTTTAACAGACTGGCTGTTGACATAACTTCTGCATCTGTTGCCCACACTCCATCTCGTGAAATTCCCGAATTAGTGATGTACTCATTGACATTTTGGTTCAGGAAATGTTTTAGTTCATCATTGATGTCATTGTTCATATGCTGAACCACTCGATCTCGGATAGTGCTGTGACTGTCTTCGGATCCTGTCAGGCTGTAACAAGTAGCAGTTGCCGTCGCCTTTGGTTCTGTATGTCCGTCGGGGCACTGTCAAGTCTGTTGATCTTCCGTAATAAATGTCCTTTGAAGAGTTCAGGTCTAATGCAGCAGCCAAATTCCTTCGAGCAATTTTGGGGATAGGGTTGAACAAACGGGTTGACTTGATTTGTTTGGTAGTAAGGTCTGTATGGTCGCCTGACTCCAGTTCATCTCTGAGTCTTTTTCGTTGCTTCGAATCACTGGGGCTTTCGGCATTGTCGTTAGTGGGTGGGTCATTGGAGTAGATTTTGAGGTTACTGGCGTGGTATGTGTTGCTCAGGATCTTGTTGGTTTTCACTTTCTGTAGCTTCACACGACCGTTGGTCAATGTCTGGACGACGGAGTATGGTCCAGTCCACCGTGGCTCCATCTTCGCTCCCATCCTCTGGACTCGTTGGTTATTCTTGATATACACTGTTGATCCAACAGCTATCTCCTTGTTGCTGGTGTCTCATCGATCGTAGTTTTCTTTCTGGCGATCCTGTGCATTGGAGATATTGTTGGAAACAGTGGACCAGATGCCTTTATGTAGATCAATGATGGTTTGCAGCACTTCTGGGCATTCAGTGTTAGGTGAAGATGCTGTAGCTGTGCTGTCATTCCCCTCGGTCGGTTTCAGGTCTATCGATAGCTTGGCTGGGCGGCCGTACATCACCTCGAATGGTGTGCATTTCGTCGAAGCATGGACTGATGTGTGGTATGCGAACAAGACGCCAGGAATGTATTGGTCCCAATCATCAACTTGGTTATTGACGAGTTTACTCAGAGCAGCCTTTAAAGTCCTGTTGTCATGTTCCCTTTGTTAACGAATTCACGTCCTTGATCACTGATCAATGTGTCCATGCAGCCCAATCGACAGATGACATGGAAAAGAAACAGAGCAACTGACTTCGCGCTTTTATCCGGGATAGCAGCTGCCTCCGACCACTTTGAAAAATGGTCGGTTACCGCAACGATGTACTTGTTGCTGCTTGTTGTCTCTTGTAGTCTCTTGTAGAGGGCCGATGATGTCAATTCCAACGAGGCTCCAGATTTTGGCAGGAACAGGAATGGAGTGTAGTGGTGGTGCTTCTGTGTTGACTTTCGGATTGATGACAAAGCACTTCGGTCACGTCTTGTATTTTCTTGCAGGTTGTTCTTCATGCCTTTCCAATAACAACGCGAGGATATTTTGCCGAAGGTTTTATCTCTGCCAAAGTGTCCACCTGTAGCTGGGTTGTCATGGCATGCTTTCAGGATGCTGGGTAGGCGGCTTTTGGTGAGCACTTCCCTTTCACCATGAAAGACAATTCCATTTGCTACCCAAAATGGCTTTGCAGTTTGCCGAAAATGTGACTTCGCATTCAAACGCGTGTCAGGATCCAGGTCATAGATGTGCTGAGGATACTTCTTATCAGAGTTGGTGTAGAAGTTCAAGATCTGGGTATAGAGGTTGTCGTCCATGTTGAAGGTTGAATGCGATATAGGATGCGAAATAAATTGCACTTTTAAATACCTTTACATGACACCCGAGATCAGTCTCCAGAGTCACTTGTTCATATTAATAAATAAATACCAGCCCCTACTCACACTATCACCAGCCCCTACTCACACCAGCCCCTTCTCACACCGGTTATCTCCCATTAGTTAGACAGCCAGTTGTTAGACAGTGGAGTAGGATATTAATTAAGACAACACCCACCTCCATAATGGTACAGCTCTAATTAGATTGATGAGTAGAGTGTGCCCGTAGTTAATCTGTTGATGTTGTACTACCCCGTTGCCGAAATACCTTAGTTGTGTGTGTGACGCTAAATAAAGCAAATAACTAACTACTAACCTTGATATATCAGCATGGCTGGGTTACGCAAAGTCAAAAATATCATATTGCAGAGAGGCACTCAACAAATACTTAATAAATTTTGTATTATGCAGTAATGTAAATGAAATGCATATACAAAATTCCTTTAAATGACACCAAGACCATTGCCCGAGTCATACTGAGTGAATTGTCAACATAATTTTTTAAGGGTATAGTCTGGGCTGGAGGGGTATACTTTGGCCTGGTCCAGAATATACCCCTGGGGTATAAACTGGGCTAGCCTATAGTTTACCCCGGGGTATAATCTGGTGGGGGGTTATTCTGGGCTGCTACACCGGGTTTGATTCCCCATTTGGGTCCAGTGTTAGAAGCCCAAGTGTTTCCTGGTGTGATGTTGCTGGAATACTGCTATGTCAACAAAACAATATCAACACAATGTCAACACATCAACAAACAATATCAACACAATGTCAACACATCAACACACAAGGGTCAACACAACGTCAACAAAACAATATCAACACGTCAACAAAATATCAACACAATGTCAACACATCAACACACAAGGGTCAACACAACGTCAACATGTCAACAAAACAAATTCTAACTGAAGATTTGGCGGCGGCTCTAAATGAAATTCTTGAAGCCTCCAAAATTGCTGAATGATATCTACAGGTTACATATCTCAATCACTACAACGAAAACACTGCATGTATGTGTCAGGTCTAAACCTAACAACTAAAGCACGAATTTAATACCCAAAATACAATGCCCCTAACACATTAGACTTACAACTAACTCTCTGACTATACATATAATTTTAATAAAAACAAAATAATTCAATTCAAATTGAAAAGGAGCCCCAGTGAGATAGAAGATTCAGAAACCAATAACATCTGCATTGGAGTGACACGTTACGTTACACATTATCATCATCATCATCATCATCATTACCATCATCATTACCATCATCATCATCATCATTACCATCATCATCACCATCATCATTACCATCATCATCATCATTACCATCATCATTACCATCACCATCATCATCATCATCACCATCATCATTACCATCACCATCATCATCATCATCATTACCATCACCATCATCATTATCATCATCATCATCATCATCATCATCATCATCATCACCACCACCACCACCATCATCATCATCATCATCATCACCACCACCACCACCATCATCATCATCATCATCATAGGATATTTACATAGCGCACATATCCACGCAACTAGTGCATGCCCAAGGCGCTGGTATTCTTCCCGTCGATCACTGGATGTCAATCTCAACGGACCATCTTATTATCAATACAACCATACAACTCTTGCTGCCAAAAGGCGCACCGAGTTATCGTGGCTTTCCCATCCTTACGTGGTACCCCATTCACAGCTGGGTGGACGGAACACATAGTCACAGTACTTTGTCCAAGTTCACTGCACGTTGCTGTACCCGCAACTGGGTGTTTGCACGTATTCATCATGTGGCCACCATCTGGTCATATACCAGCGGATTCGTGGGTTCTTTTAAGTGCACAGGGTTGTGTACTGTACACTAGGGGTTGTGACAACACTGAAAGAGTCTGCACACAAAGTTGACTCCAAGGTTTTTACACCCGGTAACAGGTGGGCTCGATTCCGACACCTTGGATCACTAACTTGGCGCATGCTGGGGTCATTATCAATTAGAAGCCACATTATACGACTATCAGGTAACGGTTTAAGTGATAGGCATATTATTACCCCTCTATCATCCCTATTCCACCCCCATGGGGGGGATCCATGAGGAAATCTACATGCACCTGCGTCAATAAGTATGGACTAACGTTAGTGTCTGAATATATTTGATTTTGACTAAAAAAAGTCAAATTTCTATTTAATTTGAATAGGAGCCCCAGTGAGATTGGAGATTCAGAATCTGAGGAAATCTAGACTTGCTTCATTTAGAACTTTAGCATTAGAGATAGACTACTCACACATAAGCGCACATTTCATTTATGTCAAAATGCCCAAAGTGTGACATACATGATCGTGAGTTTTTATCTTGTATTTTTGCTTAGCTCTTATCTAAAACAACCTTTTCGCAGCTCGCCTCCCGAAATAACTTTTCTGATCGGATTCTTTACACATTGTATATCAAAAATGTCTTAGTTTTTTCCAACGACTGTCAATAATGGGCCTCCAGCGGTTGGGAAAACCTGGTCAGGTTTGTATTTTACAGGCGCTTCATTGTCTCCACAAACCACAAACTCGGAGGTTCTTTTACGAAGACTTCAAATAATCTCAACGACATTTGCTACCGACTAGTTGCCTGGATAGTGTTAATCATATTGGTATGCCAAGGGCGATAGGCTCATTAACCTTCTGTTAAACTCAGGGGCGGATACAACTTTTTAAGAAAGGGAGGGTGCACACTATTGAGAAAAGTTTCAATGGTCATTTAACAATCTTTCAGCACAAAAAGGTGAGTGTGTGTGTGTGTGTGGTGTGGGTGTGGGGTGTTTGCGCACCCCTGCACCCCCCTCTGCATCCGCCTATGAAACTGACTATGTTCCTTGTGGTATTCATTTAATCTACTTTACTTATCTAACTAGAAGTTTCAGGAGGAAGTGTTGATGTTTAATTCAACGTGTTCTGTGAAAACATTTTGTCCAAATGAATGAAACAACGAAAGAAAGCGAGTTTGATACTAAATCTTTCACAAGTTTGATAAAAATGGTATTTCACGGAAGCGAATTTAGTATTCTGTTTATTACTCTCCAACATAAATATTGATAGAAACTGCCTACAGTGTGATGACTTTCAGCTTTCCGCGAGTCAAGCAAGGTCTAATGCCATTGTGGCATGAGTCTTAGCATTGTGACGTCATAACTATAACCATTATGACGTCACACGGCCAGCGGTATTACACTAGTGTAATATTGCCGTAAAATATAACACGGCTGTATCTTCCACGGCGAGTAATATCAAGTTATTTGAAATGGCTGCTTACAAGGAGCCTCCCTCACCACACGCAACTCTCCGTAATCAGCTGACCCGTGAAGATCGGGGTTTGTTTGTTCACTAATGCTGCCCTCATATCTCCTCTATAAATATTGGAGTCAGGTTAGTTACTCCAGTGACTGACATCATGAGCATCATCAAGCAACTGGGTTACGGTGACATGCACTGGAGTTGTTTTGTCGCCTCAGGCGTGGGCTATCGGGAACTCATATTCTTACCCTGAATTCCCACGTATTACATTACAATCACGTGTGATACTGAGATTATATCTGCCTAATATTTGATGCCAATAACTGAGTAAACCCGTGAAGATCCGGGTTAGAATTGATCTTCAGTAACCCATGCTAGTCGTTAGAGGCAACTAACAGGATCGTGTGGTCAGCCTCGATGACTTGGTTGACACATGTCATCGTATCCAAATTGCGTAGATTGGTGCGCTTGCTGTCCGTTGATCACTGGATTATCTGGTCCCGAGTCAATTATTTACAGACCGCTGCCATATAGCTGGAATATTACTGAATGCGTCGTAAAACTAAACTCACTCACTCATTCGTCACCACTCGCACATTTCTGTTACCAGCTATTCGCCCCTATAACACGAATGGGCGAATGAGTGAGTTTAGTTTTACGCCGCTTTTAGCAATATTCCAGCAATGTCCGATGTCCAGCAATGTCCAGCGGGGGACACCAGATATTGGCTTCACACATTGTACCCATGTGGGGAATCGAACCAGGGTCTTCAGCGTAACGAGCAAACGCTACCCCACCGCCCCGTCACGAAAGAGAGGTGGGTGAAATGGGGCTGAACGGATGGGTGCGATTTTGCAGAGACATGCACTTGTATGTGTCTGCTTGTTCTAATACTAACGCCGGTTGTATTTTGCTACCGGGGCAGCCTAGTGGTTAAAGCGTTAGCTCGTCGAGGATCCGGGTTCGATTCCCCACATGGGTACATTGTGTGAAGCCTATTTCTGGTCATCCCCGCCGTGATATTGCTGGAATATTGCTAAAAGCGGCGTAAAACCATAGTCATTCACCAACTATAGTGCTACCACACTGAGATACTATACCGCAGTTAGATACCACACTCTTAGTCGTACATGTATTTTTTAGTCCCTTTACGCCGACCACCAGGCAAGGTAACAATAAGTAGCCTCGTTTAACGTATTTTGGTGTAATGAAGGTGGCCATTGAAAGGCTGACCTATAGCTCTCCGGGCAGATGCCCTATCCTAGAACATGGAGGCGATAAGTGTTTAAGTGTCAGATCACTGTATTGTTTCTGACGGACCAGCAAATACTTAAATCCCCGATCCTACCTATCTGGTGAAATGTTTCAAATATATTTCACAAAATGATTTCTACGGGTGAATTCTGAGAGAGAATAGATCCCTAGCGTCCCAAGTCTGTAGTATATTGAAATTATTTCGGGGATTGATGATATTTAATTAGAGTTGACGGACTAAAATGTAGGTTGATTAATTCGAATTAATCTTGTTAGCTAAAACAGGGCCACATGATATATCTAAAATAACGTTGACTATATGACAGTTCTTACACACTCCTACCTTTGGTTAGTTTGTTTCCAGATGTTTGTTTAAGGCCACGCGGCCTAT